GTTCTAGTCCAGGCCTTAATTCTACTTGCCTTTATGGACTTGTCATGATCTGGTTTTTCTAATAATAGGGCTCCTAGATAATAGCTATAAGCTAAGCAATGTATCCGGTTATAGTTAGATGGGCATGCAATCAACCAGTATTTCTTAGTAATTTTGGTATAACAATTTTTCTATGACATATTGATAGTCATTGGTACAGTGACTGGGAAAATCTGGTTTGGTGTTGTGTTTAGTAGATCCATTTTTATTTTGGTTAACAGATCATTATTACAGGTTGTTGGTAATATATATAAGGTTTTCATATTAAGGATAAGAGTAGTACTATTAGCTTTACATATAATAGTACCTAGATGTTGAACCTGTTTACAAAGGTCCTGTAATTCAAGGGCTTTGTAGTAAATTTGTGAAGTAATTCATGTTGGTAAGTTCTGTGATGGGTTTATTGTTGTTAAGGTTATTAGAGGTTTAGTTCGAAAGTATAGAGAAAATTAATATTAAAGGAAGGCATTTCTTTGGCCTTTTTATATCTGTTAAAATTCTCTTCACACTCTTATGTTAAGCAATCTTTGGCACAGTAATTTGTAATTTGTTTAACCCATGCTGTCTAGGGCTCTGCAAATGCCTATGCCTGGTATATTGGCACTATGCTAGGCATTAATATGCTTATGCCAAAGGCACAAAAGTGCCAGGCATTACTATGAGTATAGGTATTAAAATGCCAGGCATTATAATAGGCACAGGCACTAAAGTGTCTGACATTATTATAGACAACTATGAGCATTATTGTAGGCACTATGGGCACTATTATAGGCACTGTGAGCACAGTACTGACACTATAGATACTAAGTGCTAGGCATTATATAGAGGTCTGCAAATGCCTATGCCTGGCATATTGGCACCAGGCCAGGCACTAGTGCCTTATGTCATGCCTGTACCTATAGACACAAAAGTGCTAAGCATTATTAAAGGCATAGCACTAAATGCTAGGCACAAAGTGCCGGGCACAAGTGCTGGGCAAAGTGCCAGACATAATTAAATAATAAATATCCAATTTCTGTGCCCATGCCCATGCCTAGCTTTTTGTTGGGCATAGGCACAAGCCTGGGTTGAAGATCCCTAAATGCCAGGTGTTATGGGCACTAAGTGCCAGGACTATGGGCACTAAGAGCCCAGTACACATTATAGTTACTATGAGTACTAAGTATCAAGCATATAAATTTCAAATAGAAAAGATGCCTTATTTGTCATAAGCATCTGCAATTGATAATAATCCTAATAAATAAAATAAATAAACTAAGTAATAAAATTAAATAAATAAAATACATGACTCAAATATATGATTGAGTCAAATAAATCAAACACCTACAGTTCAGATAAGTGGTCAAGTCAAATAAATCAATTCACAGTTCAAATAAGTAATCAATTTAATACCCACATTTCAAATAAGTAATCAAGATAAAATTATTAAATAAATAAACCCAATAAGTAATAAAATTAAATAAATAAAATACACAATTCAAATATGTAATCGAGTCAATAAATCAAACATCTACAATTCAAATAAGTGATCGAGTCAAATAAATCTAATACCTACTATTTAAACAAGTAATCAAGTTAAATAAACAAAATAAATTACTTACAGTTCAAATAAGAAACTAAAATGAATAAAATAAATAATTCAAATAGTGATAAAGTTGAATAAATAGATATTTCTATTTTGTAACTCTGTTTAGTTTGTAATTATTATATAATTATTACATTTATTATTATCAATTTTTTTATTTTTGAAATTTTTCAAATATTACAAAATATTATCCTTATGGATTTTTCATTGTTATTGCATATTATAAAACACTAGTAAAACTAATAAAATAATAGAAGAGCAGTTTATCTATGATAATTGCCCTAATCTTATCTTAAAAGAGTATAACTTATTTAATTACTTCTCTTTACTAATATTGGTTACGAATATAGTTGGCGATAGAATTACTGAATTACAGTATTTTACTATATAGTAGAATTAATTACAGCATAGTACATATCTAATTGCCGTAAATATTATATGCTGTAATGCTGTAAATATTACAGCATTATGGCTCAAAAAAATTACAGCAAATTACTAAATTAATTCTACCACCAACTATAGTCACGAAAGATGTTTATAGACTATCTTTTACTTAAAAAAAGTTCATTTACAATAATTTTGTTTTGTACTGTTCGATTATTGTAATTGATAGAGCATTAGTTTAAATACTGCTATGTAACAGATTTTTGGGTGATGATATCTGAAAATAGTAACTAAAAATAAAGTGTATTAACTAAATTTATAATTATATGAAATCAAACATAAACACAAATTCTGGTCCATTACTTCCCTATAATATTCTCCACTATATGCACTAATAATAAATAATTCAAATAAGCTAAATTTTAAATAAGTATCATGTTGAATACATATTTAAGTTAAAGTTAAATAGATTAAGCTAATTAAATAAGCGATTGTAATAGAAGATTAATAAATAATTTGGCAATATCATAAAATAATAGCAGATGTCAACTACAACATACTGTTGAAGTTCAATACAATACTTTTTTTTATAGGAATTTTTAATGAAATAAGTAATTGTATTAGAACATTTTTAAAATACCTTCTCAATAACTTCAACAAAGAATCTGATTAGCTTGTTAAATAGTCAGATTAGCTTTTTGTTAAATTAAATGCTTCAGAGTTATCGAGTCAAATTCTAAATAATAAATATATTAAATGCAAATGAGCAATTGTATTGAGTTAGTATTTAGCTAAAGTTAAATATATAATTATATTAAGTACTAAATAAATAATCATGTGGATATATGGGCAAGCTAAATTAAATAATCAATTGCACTAGAGATAAATAAAAAAAAAGATGTATAAATAACATCATAATTTTTTGCATACCTTGTATTTTATCTTCTTATCTTACACTGTATCCTTCTTGCTTTATATTATTTTTTCTATATTCTTCTATAAATATAAATACATATTATCTTTATATCTTCTATTGCTTTTCCTTTCTGCTTGCTTATTATTATTATTTTTTTGAATTAGTTTTTGATAATGGAAGATTCGACATTATCTCCTAATGATACAGTTTCTAAGATCTCAACACCAAGTGAAATTGGAACAGAAATAGTATGTAATACGTATTCTACTAATGACCACTGGGAAAACATAACAAAGGATAATAAAAGTATTTGGAGATGCTGTCATTGTAAAATAAAAACGTATTCAATAAATACAAGTAGAACACACTTAAAAGGCCATACTTTGAAATGTTCTACATCTTCACTATCCATGACTCAAAGCAAAGTTTTCCAGCAGATTAGCAGAGAAGAAATGGATAAGTCAATAATTGACTTGGTTATTAGGATATGAATGTTTTTCAGTATTCTTGATAACCCATTGTTTTATCAAGTGGCTAGAAATCTCTGTCATGTTACAAATTCGTATAAAATTTCATATTCAACAACAATATTATGACATCTTATAAGCAATATATTCAATTTAAGATTTGACTTTATTAAGAACATACTAGCAAAGTCTCTTGGAAGAATTTTCTTAACATTTGATGGGTGGCATTCAACTGTCCATAGATGCCATTATATTGTTATTACAGCATCATGGATTAGTAACGATTGGAGGATTGTTAACATCATCTTAAGTTTTCAAAAATCAGACCAAAAAGCAGAAGAAATATCATTAGTAATTATGAATATCTTAGAAAAATATTCTATTAATGAAAAAATATTCGCACTTACCACGAATAATACTACTACAAATAAAGCTGTAAGTCAGTTGCTCCAAAATAAGTTACAAAATAAAGATTTAATATTAATAGGTTTGACATTTTATTTAGTTTATTATTATTATTATTATTATTATTATTATTATTATTATTATTATTATTAAATTTTTGTTTTTTCAACAATGAAGCATTCCACCAGACACCACTCTATCATAACTCATTTTATCTCGATATTATACTTAAAGGCCTTATCCCCAAATCTCTAGTTCAAGCTATCCAAAACTTTAATATCCCTTACAAACTGGCATCATATATTATCATCAATATGTTACTTGAAATCAATGAACTATGTTATGAGAAACTCTGGAAATCATATTGTATAAAATTCCCAAACTAGAAAAAAAGAACAAAAGCTTAAACCTCCCTACTCAATATCACTAATCCAAACAAATTACAGTACCCAACCCAAATATACTCGCCATAATTATACTTACTCCTGTTTATGTGAACAACCTGATCAAGCACATTCTATTACTAATACTTGTCCTTCTATTGGGCTTGCTATCAGAAAAATTAATATATAGACAATTCTTTGGATCAAATACAATATCTTTTTTAATTATATTTTAACTCTACAAATCTAGATGAGTCTTGACCACTCTAGTAGGTTTAGGTCGCAGATAAATATGTCTAAGCTTTTATTCTTGAATGTAATTTTTCCTTTTGTATTTAGAGTCTAGTTATATAGTTAGTGGTTTAATGTTTTGCCATGACTGCAAGTGTTGGTTTTGGCCATAGCATTTATATAGAATAACTTTGTATACATAGTAACTTCATGTAGTTACTAACTTTAAAACTACTAATAAAGATATGAGCAAGGCCTTACCTTAATACCAAAAAAAAAAAAAATTTTTGTTTTTTTTTTTTTTTTTTTTTTTTTTAGAATGCATATGTCACATCCTAAATTTAATTGTTAAAGAGAGCTTAAAGGATATAAATTTATTACAAGAAAAGATTCACAAAATTATGAAATACTTATCTAATCCCTTAACTAGTAGTAGATTAGAAGTATTAGAGTCATACTGTCAAATTTCTAAAATAAAACCATTGCAACCTATTCTTGAAATAGACATACGCTAGAACTCAACATTAGCTATGTTCAAAAGATACCTATACTTACATCCAGCAATTCATGATATGTGTTCAAAAGATCAATCAATGCCCTCATGCTTGGCTGATGAAGAACTTGTAGTTCTTAGTTCCCTTTGTCAGCTTCTCAAATCATTTGAAAATGCCATGTTAGCCCTTTCTGAAGAATGATCAAACTTAATTTCTGAAGCAGTAATGATTATATTAGATATTAATCAGCATATCAGTAAAAAAGCTGAGGTGTGCTATAAAATGAAAAAAAAATTTGACAAATACTGGTCCATAATCATGGATCATGTTATAATCACACATGTACTTGACCCAAGGTGTAAATTAGAGCACTTATATGCAACCTTAATTAAAGTTGGTGGATATAGTGAAAATCAAGTGGAATTGTTTGTTAATAATATTCGTGAAAAAATTATTTCATATAGAATAAAGTATTCAAATGCTGTTAAAGTTGTTGAAGTTGGTGAAATTGCTAAAGCTGTTGAAACTGTTGAAATTATCGATCATTCTGCAGATGATTTCTTATTTCTTAGAAGAAAAATGTCAAATAAATGAAAACGTTCAGATACAATTGAAGCTGAATTAGAATTATATGAGGCTAAACCCCTTGATAAAACCCAAATAGATAGTGAAAGAAAAGAAAATAAAGAAATACTACCTTGAGAATCTTTATCAAAAAAATTCCCAATACTTGGTAGAATGGTATGTGATTATCTATGCATGAAGCCTTCGAGTATTTCTAGTGAGAGGGCCTTTTCAAGAGCAGATTTTACTATCACTAGTGATAGAGCATCTATTAGTGAAGAAACAGTTTCAAGCATTATACTCCTACATTTATGGCTAACAGAAAGCCAAAATAAGTTTAGTCCCCTTCAAGATCTTCTATGATCTAAACATGTTTGACTATATATATGTATAATTATTGTAATTGTTACATGATATATATAATACAGTACATGTGATAAAAACATTTATTATAGTATATAAATAACTAGTATCGCTCTGATTTATTATACAAAAAAATAAATTAATAATTATAATATATAAAATTAGATGATTAAAAATTTTTATCTGATATATTAAATCAAGTTACTATTAAAAAATCAAGTTACTATTAAAAATTGGATTTAACTAAAAAAATAATATTTTATACTAAAAAACGAATAGATTTAAGATAATTATAAAAGTAAAATTGTAGGTTTAAATAATTAGAGATATAATTAGATGTTTATTTTTATAATATATTTCAGAGAATTGCATATTAACTATTGATGATTTAAGACAATCTTTATATATGTGTTAAAATGTCACAAGATAGATTTTTAGAAGTAAACTTTGGTTATATAAAGTTTGACTATTTAAGTAAATTCATTAGCACTAAATAACCTTTTTTTTTTATTTATATTAGAATTACTTAATATTATAATGATAATAATGTTAAAGAATTATAGGAAAAAATAGGTTTAAAGCTCTCGATACAGTAGCCAGTTCTTATTTTAAGAGATATTCTTGGTTCAAATTAGGAGATATAGGGAATTGGGAAGATTATTACATAATATTAAAGAAAATCATAAAGGTAATATTTTAAATTCTCCTCGAAAGGTAGATATTTGCTCTATTTTCATAGTGCAAATATTAATTTTATTATTTTGCCTTCGACCAGGAGGAGTTTTATTTCTTCAACTATCTCAAATTTATTTGATATCGATAATATCAAAAAATTAGATAACAAAATAACTATTATTTTTGAAAGAGTGATCTTCTGGCAAAAGAAAATTAAGTGTAACGAATTTTGATTTATAGTAATGTGAGTTCTACCAAACTGCCGAGTTTCTATCAGTAACTACTGCTAGATATATTACTTTTACTTTCTACTAACAGCTACTGGTAGAAAACTTATTTGGTAAAATTCATATTACTGTTGGTTAATAATAATTATTTACTTATTCGTTTATTTAAGGAGCAACAAGCCACATATGTCAAGAACTTTTATGTCTGTTTCTAAATCTTGTTAAAAAGGCTGCAAGACAACATTCAAGAGAAAAAGGTAAATCTAAAGGGAAGGTTGGTATAGTTTCTGGTTATTATTCAAGAATTAAGCTAGATAGGTGAATAATACCCAGTTCTTAATCAAAGAGGTGTTATTTCTAGCGATACTCTTTGTAATGTTATATTAATTTGTCTATCAAGAAAAACCTCATTTTATTATAGGCAATGTGAAGAAGCACTTATTAGTCTAAATAGGCAGTCAAATAATGCAATTCATTTATGAAAAATTTCTTATAAACTTGGATAAATTACTAAAATTAATTCAAATAAAGTATGAGTAACAGGTGCCTGCAAATTAGTTTTTTATTTAATGAACTTGGATGATGATATTCCATTATTTAATATTATTTGTTTATTTATTAAATCATGATTATTAATAATATTTAATATTATGTACAGTTAATGTTAATACAGTATTTTTTCGATTCAGACTTTGTTTTTAAGGTTATTCTGGGACGTCTGCTCTGAGTTATTAAACATCTAATAAGCTTAATAATAGTTAAATTAGGTTCGAAGTATTTCTTTCTTTCAATTCCAGTGAAGATCTGTACTAATTCTACTTTTTTTTTTTAATGTTTCATGAGCTTACTTTTAAAATGCGTACATGCATCTTCAATTAACTGGTCTGACTATTTTCTATGCCACTCATTACAACTTTAGCTTTTTTTTTAGTCAGTTTAATAATTCTTAGAATTCCTTCATATTAATTATTACCTTAATTTTTTTTTCTTTTTTTTTATTATAGGGCTTGATAAGCCTTGGCATTCTGTTAATATTTAATATTTCTTGTTCTTGTGTTGTAGTTAATAATGTACGAAATAGGTTCATCTTTTGGTGTTTCTAAGTGTAAGTCAGATGTTGACTGGTGAGTAAAATATTTTTTATTTCATCAATTGATATACTCAAAAAATGTTACATTACCTTCTCAATAAATATTATAATACTATAATACATGTTGTAATATTATAGATATTTTTAAACATTATTTTATATTATTTTATTGATATTATATTAGTTTTATATTA